ATTGTCAGCCTAAAAAAACAGAAGATAGAAGAAGGGAGAAAATTGAAGTGAGAAATCAACTCATAACCTTTTTCTATGAATGCCACGCTCCTGTGAAAAGGACTAAACTTTCTTAATGCTTCATTCTTAACAAAAATCATGACAAAAAGTTCCTATCAGTATTTAAACTGCTAAGATTTGTCAAACACAAATGGGAAAATAGTGTTTAAATAGCAGTCTTATTTTGTCCGTAATGATTATGGGAGGGTTTTTTTGCGCAAAGAGGATCTCAGCAGTAATAGATCATCTCTGCACTGAGTGACAGGAATACTTTACTGAATCCAGTGATTTCAGGTAGAGCACAAACATATGCCCATATCTGTTCAGGGCTGGCAAAGGCAAACTCTGTGTGTGGTGTAAATAAACAGTGCGAATGCTGCCTGCCTTTAGATCGCAGCACTTGGTGTGCAGCTCACACCGCCACCTCCCACTCCACGCTGACCCAGGCTGGGGCTTCCTATCTCCCAGCTCCGGGTCATAGGCAGCACTGTCCGCGCTCTCTCCTCAATGACCCATGTGCCGGTAGAGCTGGCTGCCCTGCCTGGTGACCCGTGGTGGGACCATGTTCTTCGCTGAGCCCTGCAAGAGCTGCTTCTCATCAGCGGCTCCTCGGCCTCCTGTCATCCAATAATCTCTGACTCCGTGATGTCACTGTCACAGAGGTACGTGACAGTGCTGCGGTTTTGCATTTGTTGGCCTGTGTTAGAAAATACTAGTTTGCTTGCCCTTGTTTTTTTCCAACTGTATCAACTGGCATAATAATAATGATAATAATAATGAAAATAAAATTATTTCTCCCTACAAGCTTCTCAATAAAAAGGTACAGCAGGACAGTGGGTGAAAATAAGAATTCCCAGCTGCACCTGAGAGACAGTCACATAGGAAGGGACGGAGCTGGTAGGTTACCTTAATATGTGACAGCAAGAAACATTATGTCCAGCTATTGTTGTTGCACACCCTGAAATGAAATATTGGTTGATCCTGGCCAACAGCCAAACACCCACCCAGCCTCCTTGCTCCCTCTCCTGTGAGACTGGGAGAAAACAGAAGGAAGGCAAGAAGACTCGCGGTCTTCACCGCGAATTCACAGTTGCTTGGCAAGACAAATGCCATAAACCCAAATGTCTCCCCCTTCTCCTTCTTTCCCTGAGCTTTTACTGCTGAGCACAATGTCATATGGTATGGAGTATCCCCATCATCAGCTGGGGACAGCTGTCCTGCCTATGTCCCCTCCCAGCCTCTTGCCCACCCTCAGCCTACTTGCTGGGAATATGGGGATGGGAGACAGCAAGAAAGTCTTGACTCTTTGCAAGCACTCTGCAGCAATAGCCAAAACATTGGTGTTATCAACCATGTTTTAGCCACTAATGCAAAAGACGATGAAGAAGGTTAACTCCATCCATCACATGCCTGGATATGCGTGTTCTGAGGTGATGGTTTGTGTGTGACACGATGTTATCCAGACTGTCTTTTCCACAGGTGAACTAATGTTCTTAATTTACCATGTATGGACCCATCATACCTTCAGAGAAGACAGGAGAACTACTGGGGATAGCCAGTATGCAATAAAGCTTAGTTCCCCATATTAATGCTATGCTACAATAGCAGGTATACTTATTGTGCTACTTGAAGATATTCTGTGGGAATATGGCTTGCTTTACATGGAATATTTGAATGCAATGTCTTACTTGTTAAACAATTTTTCCTAGAGTCAATCAAACAATTTTTGATAGAAAAATCTTCTCTGAATGTGTTTCAACAAAATTAGAATGTGTTAGAGGACTGGCAGATTTCAAACACATTATAACTGGAGAACTGTTAAATGATTTACTTCAACCTTTCCATCTTTTGAAACATTTAGTTCAGGATCTGTTATGTTAGTGTTTGAATTATTATTATATTCAATTATTATATCACATCAGATAACATCACATCAGCTGGTATCCAGTGTGATAATTTGCTCCTACCTAGGCACATTTTTTCAAGGTTATCTTGATGTCTACTAATAAAATGTTTTGAAAACTTACTTTCACAAAAATGCATTGAGAATTTAACTTTTCATCACAATTCAGAGCAAAGCATATCTAAATACATTGGACTGCCTGCTTTTCTGACTAGCAATTTATTACTGTAGAACATTCACAGTCAGTCAATAACATAATTTTCTACATTTTTTTCTTTCTCTTACTTTGGAATTTGCCCTGGGTGCTACAGCATAAGTCAATTACAGTGCCCAAATGTAAGTCTCTTTGGTTTCCCTGGGAAACTGAAATTGCAGAAAAAATGTTAGAGTTCAGGAAAAGAAAACCAATCTAGTACACTTCTGTTTTGTCTGTAGAGATTTTGTATTATCTTAACAGCAGTTATCACAGAATCACATTTTGCTTTTTACCAGCTTTGTCTGAAAACTGTGCAGATAAATCTGTTTCTAGTCGGGATGACATTAAATTGAAACGAAGGTAAAAACAAATTAATTTTTGTTTGTTATAGTTGTGTACGGTACTAAATGCAACAAAACATTACCAGATTTGTTTTTGTTGATGTCATTAGTAAATTGTTTACAGAGATCTAAGTGTTTTTTACCAAATTCTATGTTAAAAACACAGGAAATTGGTACTTATTTGAGTGTTTGATGTGGAAAACCTGTCTGTGCCATCTTTGAACAGAGTGTGTCAAGATCCTTGCTACCTCTGGGAATGACAGTGGGGAACAGACCACAAATCTACAACTTTAGTAGAGAAAATAATGACACAAATGGCAAATGATTCATCTTGCCATGGTTGGCAGACATTCTTGTGCTGGAAGGAACTAAAATCTTCCTGGAAAATGTACCAATGTAAGGCTGTTTCTAGCTTTGCCTCTCCTGTGAATCACTTCATATCTGTGAATTTCTTTTCTAGGCTCCACAAAACCAGTGAGATATTGACAAATTGGATGGCTGACAGATTGAAGGAATTCATAAAAGGGAATTCAGAATTAAAAAAGAAGCCTTGAGGGAAATGGTTTGTGAACATAAGTAAAATTATACTTTGTCTTAATGCTGACTAAGAAGAAATATGAAATACAAATGTGTAAAATCCCACTAAGGGCACAGGACTCATAAAAAACCCCAGCGGGAGGACACTTTCACCCCTTCCCCAAAGAAGAGACACAGACAGCCCCACCCGCCCAGCAAGGCTAGCATGGGGCTGGACATATCCCTGCCCTCTCCTAGCACTGCACGCACTCAGCAGCCACAATTTTGGAATTTATGATTCCTCTGGGTGACTTCTCTTCCCATATGGTATGGGGTTTTAAACTCCTTCATACGACTGCTTCTTTGGTCATATAGCAATGAGGCTGCATTGGCTTCATCACGCTTTTTAAAGCAGTCTAGGCCTGTGCTAAAGGATGCAGGGGTTGTACCTTGGCAAGGTAGGAATGAGATGAAATTTTCACAGGGAAAACACACACTGAAAACGGAACAGGGACACTGAGCTGGCTACAGGCTCCCCTTGAAAAGTGGTTAAAGCAACAATTCTTGGCTCCTGTAACTCAGCTTCTTATAAAAGGCAAATTTAAACATTCTTCCTGTGGTCCTCCTGCTTGGAAAGAGATCCTCTAAATAAATTACCGCTCTTTGTTTACATCTGATGAGTGCCACAGTCAAGAACTATGGCACTCATCTATGCCATAATGACACGGCAGCTGCTGTGCCGGGTCTAGTGTGCGTCTTTCATATCCCAAAGTCAATTGCACTCTCCCTTTTATTTTTCTTGGTACTATGTCTCCTGTGGTCTATAGGACTTATATACTGTATTTTGTGTTTGTACAGCACTGTGTCTGTGCGGCACTTAAAAAATGGAAGACTCATCTAGTATTCCAGATCCTAAAGTAATATAAAAAACTAACTAACCAAAACAGATTAAGCAAAATAATAACAAATTTAGCTGAGGAACAGTTCAGTTTCAACCAGATGTCTAAAAGACTTTTAGGTCAACTTCTCTACTTTTAATTTCAGGAGAGGATTGCTCACTCTTTTCACATCAGAAAAGAGGAGAATAAGTTACTCTGCACAGAACTCTTAGCTGTATTTAGGTTCTGTGGTTGGAAAAGATCCAGCAGATAATCCCATCTCCATCCTGCTGCTTTGCAATATTCACAAATGTCCCTATTGAATCTAGCTAATGTAATTGTTGAAAGGAAGGAATAAGACAAGCCTGGGTGAATTATACATGCCTTTCGCCTCTGAGCTTATCCTCTCATTTCTAAACGCAATCCACTGCTCCACGCGTCTGAGTGAGAATGAAGTTTATGGCAGCATATCCACTGCTGACATCCTCATAAATACTGAGGTACCCCAACTGAGGTATGCTCACAAAGAAAGATCGTCTATGCAACAGTTTCATCAAAGGGCTAAAGATTTCTGTATAGTATGTGTCCATCAGTTAAGTCTCAACAGGGGTGAATATAAAATTTTGGCCCTGCTGATAAGTATTTCCCACCATTAGAGCAGAGCAGAATTACAGGTATGCATGCTCTGGGTTTTATTTCTTTTGATTGGAAAGGAAATGGGCTGAGATTTGCTTTTATTGTCAGTCTAAAACAACGTTTATGGTAGCCTTGTACAACAAGAACTTGGTGTTTCCAGATCTGAAAAAACAATTAATAAATAATACAACTTTTTATTGATAACTAAAACTATCCCATCTATTAGGAAATGCAAAATCAGGCAGGTCTGTATTTTGTCCTGTAAACAAAGCAATGGAGGGACATATTTATGAATACATTTTTACCTCTGTTGCCAATATTTTTTGTGCGAACTTACTTTAGGTGTAAATATTTAATGCTTCTTTTCTCTGCATTAATATTTATTTTTCTGTGTGGGAGTAAAGGCATCCTTCAATACTGTGAACCAGGTAAATAATGTATTACTTAGTCATGAAAAATGCCAGAGGAAAATAAATGAGAGGATATCTTACCTTTGGTCATCACAATGCCTGCAAGAGTTTTGTGGCGTGCATGCATGGAAGTGAAATTATCTGTCAGCTCCTGGAACTTCTGTGCAACCATTTGGTATACGGAGTCGGCAAAATCCTGAAAGACACAGTGGGAAAGAATTTTCTTCACTTTTTTTGATTGATGCACCTGGGCGTTTCTGCAGATTAGTCACCTGCTGTCAACTGCTGAGAGGTCCCTTTTAGAATTAGACACCACCTACCCGAGCAAAGATAAAAGGAATATCTCTCTGTCAACTACCCACATCACCCTCAGAAATGGCTAAATTAACTGAATTAAAGCTAGAGAACCGTATTGACTAGGATTAGTGGTAAATGGAGAAGATTTCAAGGTTGACTTTTTTCAGCCTCCTAGACATTGGTCCAGGATCAGTTCACAGGAAATTTGTTGGTCCTTAAAGCATTTTATTGTAGTGAGCTGAAGAGGTGGACGTGTGTCCCACCAAACCACCTATTTCCATGAGCCCACTGAAAACTTCTGTTAGCCCACTGAGGCCCGAGAGCTGAGCTGAGGCCTGGGTTATAGGTAAGGACCACCTATTTCTGCATTCAAGGTGAGTTTTTAATGACTCACAGCTATTGAGGTAAAACGATGAGCTCAGAAATCTGGGCTATGTTTAATGCTGTCAGAGGAGTACCACGGTCTGTCTTGCTTCCACCTCGACAGCTGTTGGGAGGAAGGGAAGGGGAACCGCTGCTTGCACATCCTACCGAAGATGTTGCTTGCACAAGTTCACTGGTGTGCAGTGGTGCTGAGGGACCGTTCTGCCAGGTCTCCTCTTGAGCATGACAGCTTTGTTGAAAGGTCAAATTTTCCCATGGACTGGGCTCTAGAGACTGTGTGGTCTGAACTCTCAGGTCTGAGTGAGTCCAGTCGCCAGGGAGAGCCTTGGGAAGCCAGTTGCTGGAGCCAAGCAGGGTAAAAGGTCCAAAAAGTGAATTCTGCAGACTGCGTATGGATGAATGTGAACACAAACCAGCTCTGGTGCTCCTGAGAACACCACTACTTGGACCGTTTCCCTGCTGCAACATTTAGTATCTTTTCATTTACTTAATCTCTGCACTTTGTTTGGCACAGAGCATTTCAAGCATACGTTAGAGATAAGTCAGAAGAATGCTGTTTGTGAGCCTGAGTTGTTCTTAAAGTGCTTTGCAAGTCTGAACACAAAAAAGTAAGATCCAAAGGACTTTTTTTTTTTTTTTGAGCCATATGATTTCTTGTGGGAAACCAAGCTGTACTTACAAATCCTTCCAGGAGCAGTTCCTGGGGGCTGGAGCTTACTCTGGGGTGCTGACAGGAGACCTCCTGGCATTCTGTAATCTGGTTAGCCCCGAGCAATCGCGCCTTTGTTAGTAAAAGTGGCTCGACCAAGCAACAATTCCAGTTTTTCTCCTCGTGTTGGGCTAAGCTACCTGCAGGGAGGTCCTGGTAAAACAGGCCCCTGTGAATTCACCCGGTTTCTTTAAATGGGTTCATGGCACACATGGAGGAGAGGCTGAGTCTGGTGTGCAGCCTCCCTCACCCTGAAAGATCCACAGCCATGCAGAAGTAAGGAAATGTGTTTAAGAAGATCATAGCCATTCTTTTTCTCCCAAAACTATTAATGGTGATGAAAACATGTTGGCAAAACCACAGTATTTTAAATTGGGAGAACACACAGCTATTTTTCAGAGGAAAGCAGATTCTAATTCACAAATATTATCAGTAATATTACTGCCACTGAGAGCCTCTGCAGGCTGTACACCATATGTTTCTACAGTTTGTCGCAGAAAGCCAGCTTGATTTTTAAATATTATTATAGCAAATATAAAAAAATCTAATTAAATAAAACATAACAACAATTAGGCAACTCCCTTTTCATAAAACCTGGAATATTTTTTCCATGTACAATCCTTATAAGTGATTGCAATTTGCTCAAATACATAGAGGATAGGATTTCTTTGACACAATAATTTTTCTTTGTTTTGCTAAATGCAGCTTTCCAAGGTATTGCTCTGGGAACAAACCATTTACCCCAAAAGACAGTTTAATATAACATGGAATAAAATATGCTGGCTTGTTGCAAAAGAAGGAAAGAGGCATATAAACCCTTTCTGGGAGATGCATGCAAAATTTTACACTAGAATTAGATGAAAACTAAGAAAAATTATCAAGAACAGTTTGACAGTTCCTAAATGGAATTTCACTTTGACTGCGTTTATACCTCTTCTAATCTAATTGTCCACAACCACCATGTGAGCAAGGTATTGCTCATACAGTGCTTCTGAAGGATGAATTTTGGGTCAATTCTCATTTGCCAAGCATCAAGGCACCCTTGTGATATAAATGCAATTACAGTTGCTTTACAGATGAATGAGTGAAGGCACTAAAAGGGTGAGGGACTGGTCCAGGGGAATAGCACAGAGCCGGGCACAGCCAGGTGTTCTGATTTCCTGATGCTCTGGTTAAGTGCTCAGCGCTGGAACACTGCCTGTCTTTCATAATATGAAAGTTTGTTTCTAAACTTGTTTTCCCTACTGAAGAGTGACTTCATCCATAACGGAAAACTAAAGTGTATTTGCAGGACTGATATAACTGGGCCCCATATGGTGGACTGAAAATCTGATCAGCTTTACTTAGACTAGAAAGAAAGAAAGAAAAAAAAAAAGAGTATCTCAATAAAACTGTCATCTGCAGCATCATTTAAAAAAAAGAATAAAATCATAAATTTCGTCTCCTGCAGTATTGCTGTCCAATCCATGCCTGCGTTTCTAGCGTACCCTCCAAATCTGCATCCCAGGGCATTTTGCACTCATTAAGACTTGATTAGCTTAGAGGCACATACAATTCCTAAAAGAATCATTTTAAAAATGCTAAATAGAACAAATAACTTTTAACTTTGGATTTAGAAATCCCCACAGTCAGGGCTTTCTTTACTTCATTTGGCAGTAGGTTCCAAAGCCAGAGAGCAAAGAGACTCACTAAAGGCAAAATAACGACATGACTTCAGATAACATTTAGGGACGATAAGGAATTCGGCATTTGCTGATCTTGAGGAGTGACCTGGGACATTAAAGAACAGCAAATCCATTAAATGTGAAGCCTCTTAGCTAAAATAAGTCAGGCGAATATTTTTCATCTTGAATTCATTGCCTAAAAGGATGCCAGTGAAATTAATAGAAGCAAAGGAGTGACATACATGAATACATGTAGGATGCAGAAAAAACAACCAGAAACATAGTGTCTAATCTGAGAGGTCATTTACAGGCTATCCTATTGCCCTAAATTTCCAAATGGATATTCCAAAGTAAAATGGAAAGGTGAAAAAGAGGAAAAGGAGCAGTCTGTTTTTGCAGATGGAGAAAAATAAGAAGTCAAGAGATGCACGGCTCAGTCCTGTAAGAGATTTGATACCCTGAGGATTGATCCATGTAGTGGAGCATTAATTTCAGGGCCTTGAAAACTCTGGCCCTGAAAGCTGTCCTGGTGGCAGAGCTGGGTATGGTGTTAGATTCCTGACCTATACCTATATGTTACAAGAAGCATAGCACACTGCCTTCCCCTGTAACACACACCAGAGCAGCTGTTTGGCTTGACCCAGTCATGTGCAATGAAATCAGTGGCAGCATTTCTGCCTATTTAGAGCCTTTAGACTGGTTCTCAATGTTTCTAGGAAACTAAAACTGGTTACAAACATATCTAATGCATACAGGACAGATAAGGTGGAGATAAGAGTTGGTACATTTACCCCTGCTCAGTTTAGAATGAGATACTTCATTCCAGAGATTTTCTTGCTTTACTTTTAAACAATAGTCCTAGGCTACTGAAAGATACATACCCAGATGATCATTCCTGATGGGATGTAAACCAGAAAAATCCAACCATTGATGGCTATTGTGAGCCTGGTTGAACTTTTAGGATACAGGCTAGACTATGTTATCTGCCATCAGAAATAACTGAAAAAACATACACAAAAGGAACCATTCTTTTGTTATTCTCTACTATCAAAACAATTAATCTCAGAGAAAAGTTGTGTTTGCTGATACCACAGTTCCTACTGCCAGATATGAGTGAAAATAAGTCTCCATCTGGAGTAAATACAAGAGCCAAATACATCTTGGCAGCTTCTGAACAACTATCAAAAGTTGTTGGTAGTAGAAAAAGGGAAAATTTCAGAAGACAGGGCAAAAAGAAGAGTAGAAACTTTCCTTGTGAAAGAGAAATTCAGTGCAATTAATAGAGGTGCATGCAATTGCACTGGCTGCGTAATGGCAGAGAAATGGCAGCTTGGGGCAGGAGGACAGGGCAGAAGAAAACAAAAAGATACGGACAGTCAGAACTCTGAAAATTTTTACCAGGGCACACAGGAGAATAAATGCTCAAATGCCACTTGAGTGCTGGACCTAGGAGGGACTTATGCTTAGGGATTTAATCCCCTTGGAAAACTGGGGTCTGATACAAAACACCACTGAAGCCAGTGGAAGTATGCCTGACTCTAATATGTTCGAGATAAGGCTCAAGCAGCAAGCATGGGAGTTCAAGCATGCCCATGCCCTGGCCAGGCAGGGTGAGCTCGGCCATGACAGCTTTGGGTGTGTGTTGGGAGGAAAAAACACGACTCTGGGGAAGAACTGACCTTCCAGGTGCTGAGTTTCTTTCAAATCCCCTGCTCTGGTTTGCCTGCTATCAAAATCTTACCTTTCATAGGTCCTCACATAGATTGTTCTGCACAAAGAATATTTGTCTCAGAGACAATTTCTTTGAGATCAAAACTTTTCTCGGTCTTGCTAATACAGTTAGCAATATGAGTAAGGCAAACAAGACTGCTAGACCCACAGCGAGGGGCAAATCTGCTCTTGGTTGCACTCAAGCCATGCACATTGCCTACATGCCTACTGTCACCGATGGAAGCAACAGTTACTGGTTCAGGGGCCTGGCAGAAGAAAGAAAACACAATGCTAAATTGTTCACTGTGAAAAAAGACTGTGAGATCCTGCAGTACTTAATGAGCTATATTTTAACATATACAAGGAGGCTGGAAAAATGAAAAATAGATGTCATTACTATTAAAACTGCACTGTGTTGTCTGAAGTATTCAT